ACTGGACCTGTTCAAGAGTCCTTTTAATCCCAGATACAGGGACGGGCGATTTCATAGATGACTCCTGAATTCCATTTTGTAGTCAGCTGCACTGGTCAGAAACACCTTCTGGCCAGCCTTTTTCTGAAGTGACTGGAACCCACTTCTCGGCTTCCCTAACCAACACTGGTGACGCCATTGCTCTTGGGAAGCAAACAGTTCAGAAAGGACCAGGACCCCTTCACCAAGCCTGCCTGTGGGTGTCTTGAAGGGAGAGTTGCTGCCCTCCCAGACTCACTAACCCTGCCAGAAATGGCATCTTTGCGACTGAATCGTCCGGAGGGCTAATACCGTTTTCCATAGTGGGCTAACTGACCATGCACGTAGTACGAGCTTAAGTCATTAATCTGGAGCCCCTGTTCCCCATGCATTTAAACATGCCTTGGATGGCTAGTACAGAGCAGCAAACCATGTAGCCGCCTTGCATAAAACCACATGGGTAACTTTTCTCACCCATCAAGTTCAGAATATATGATTTTTTAAAAACCAGGGCAGCCATCTTTTATGAATTCTCAAGTAATTGGCACTTACGATGAACACTTGAAAGCGCAATGCCAGTGGGCGATGACCAGCACCTCGGCTTCTCAACGTATTTGCCTTTGCCACAGTACCTTGCTGATTAATTTTACAGAACTCACTAGGTATGCACCATAAACATGCACATATATGGGCAATTTGGTGAAATCTAAGTGCCTTTGTCAATCTGTAGGCACAAAGGGGGGCTACTAGGGCATAGGGCTGTGATTAAAGTAAGTGTGCCTGGCTCCCGGAGAGGCTGGTGTTTTGGCTCGGCTGGCATCTGGGAAGTGGGCTGGGGAGTCTGAGACCTGGCTAATCCCTCCCTAGGTCTGGGGGAGAGGTAAAGGGGCTGGAGGAGTGAGCCTGATGTTTAGCGTGATGGAGAGATAAAGCAGCTGTGTGATCAGATGAGGGCTGGCCATGGGGTGTGCCGGGAAGGATTTATGGGGGTATGAAATTGGCTCCATCCCTGAAGGAAGAGGGGGCGGGCAGAGGGTCACAGATGGCAGGCGGAACCTTTCCCTCTGCAGGTGTGCCTGCAGCGCCATCCCTCCTGGTTTGTTTATGACCCTGTCTGCTGCTGAGGCTGGTGGTCTCAGGTGCTGTCCCCTAAGGTGCCTGACAGCTGGCAAGGCCCACTCTCTGCAGACTTACTCCACCGTTGTGATTAAAGCGAGCCTTCCAGCAAAAGCAGTGAGCTGCAGCTTCCCAAGCCACTGTGGCTCTGACACGTGGCCTCTATCACTGCCTTTAACCGGCAGGGTGGGTTCTGTCTTCCTTTTTTTAAAAAAACAGTGAAATGCAAAGAAGTGTCCTCAGCGACTGAGGAGGTCCGCCAGTGCTGACCAGCCTGGCCTGGGAGCACACATCCTCCACAGGACAAGGAGCAGCTTGTCACAACTTCCTGGAGTTCCTTTGTTTACTTCTGGCCGGCTCCAAGTCTGAGGAAAATCGCCATGGCCATTTTGAAATTGTTTTCTTTGCATTCTAATCCTGCCATAGGTTGATACCTGCCTGCTTTTCATTTTGAGGGGTTGTAGGACAAACTAGTTAGCATGTTGGGATCGTAAGGGGATTTTCTTAACAAACCACGTTTAAATGGGAAGGTCCCCAGTCTGGCAAGTTTGGCTCAGTGTCATTGGTCTTTTCCTGCACATGCTGCAATAATTGCCATTTTGGGGAGCCCGCCCTTCCTTCCTTCCTTCTTTCCTTCCTTCCTTCCTTCCTTCCTTCCTTCCTTCCTTCCTTCCTTCCTTCCTTCCTTCCTTCCTTCCTTCCTTCCATATCTCAGTTAAGCTATTGTGGTTTATAAGCAAATGAGAATCGATAGAAGGACTTTGTTGGTTTTGATTTTTTAAAAACCCTATTCATATTCCATATTCAGTCCATTGATCCTACAACCTATTGACAGGCTAGATACCATTGTGGGTCCTAGGGATGTAGGTGGGGAAAACGGCAAAGTCCCCCCCCCTTACCTAGTTTTACCCTGGTGGGCAAATGGTTACAGGGCCAGTAGTGTGAGGAGATTTGGGAGAGGTGGGGTTGGGGGTTGCCTATACAGATGTCAGGAAAGAACTCTCTAATGGAATAGGTTGTGCAGAGACCCAAGCGAAACAGGATGTGCATGATTGATATGTGGAGAGAAAGGTGAGACATGATGAGAAGAAAGGTCAGCTGCAAGGCCCTGAAGCAGGCATGTGGATGGGAAGCAAGGATGCATTCAGGAGGTCAGTCGTAGGCTGTGGATCTGAGCTGTTAGTACACATGATGAAGTCTGACTAACCTTTCTGTTTTGGGGGAAGGTGGATAAACGTGGACACAGGATGTCAATCGGCGCAGAACAGGACAGCCACAGTATTAAACATAGAGGATAGGCAGTGGTAGCACACACCTTTAATCCCAGCATTCCAGAGGCAGAAATCCCTCTGGATCTCTGTGAGTTCAAGGCCACATTGGAAACAGCCAGGCATGGTGACACACGCCTTTAATCCCAAGAAGTGAGCCTTTTAACCCCAGGGAGTGAAGGCAAAAACAGAAAGGTATATAAGTCGTGGAGACCAGAAACTAGAAGCATTTGGCTGGTAAAGCTTTCAGGCTTCTAGCAGCAGTTCAGCTGAGATTCATCGTGGATGAGGACTCAGAGGCATCCAGCCTGAGGAAACAGGACCAGCTGAGGAACTGGCAAGATGAGGTAGCTGTGGCTTGTTCTACTTCTCTGGTCCCCCAGCATTTACCCCAATAACTGGCCTCAGGTTTGATTTTATTAATAAGTACCTTCTAAGATTCCTGCTGCAGGGCACCGCTGCAGTAGCCTCAGGACAAGGGATGACCAGTCGGGTCAGCATAGAGACTATGGGGTAATAAAAGAGGTATCTGGCCATAAGAAGGGAGAACCCCAAAAGAGTGGGAGGACCTCGGGAAGGAAGAGTTCTACCTAACATGTATTGCTTGAGATGACTTAGACACGTAAGCGGAGACATGTCATCATCCGCTGTTGTCATTGGTCTCGATCTTGGTAGGTGGGAGGTAAAAGTGTGGTGAACACAGGCATTGTTGGCGTAGAGCCCTGTTGAGGTGGAGGAATGGGGAGCGGTTCAGACAGTGTGACAGGAGAGGCTGTGCAGACATGACAGCCATGGGGGGCAGATCCCAGCTGACTGGGGTTTTCCCAACAACACGAAGACATCCATCACCTTAGAACCGGGAAGCGGTTCTCTGAAGTCTCTCTGAAGTCATCTGGGCAGAGGGCAGACGTAGCGGAGTGCTCCACTTACAGTCTGTGACTGCGGCTCAGAACAAGCCCTGTGAACAGAGTGCGCTGGGGTTTCCCTTTGCCCGAATGCAGCAGCCTGAGTGGAGAGGTCGAGAGTGGAGTACAGGGGTGTAGAGAGCGGGGCAGGGAGAGCTAGGACAGGAAGAGCTAGTCCGCAGCAGACCCCTGGCCCCAGTGGGAAGAAGAGCTCTAGAGCCTGGAGGAGGGAACTGGGAGAGCAGTCAGTGGTGGTTGGAGAGCAGATGCTGGCGATGTTGATGTTGGCGATGGCTCACATCTGTATGTAATCGAGGCTATGGAAACAGAACCGGCCTCGTCTGTGTGGTATGAGATCAACCTAGGCTTCATGAGACTGTCTGAAAGAGGAAAGTAAGGGAGGTTTGGAGGTAGTGCCCATGTTGCTGGTAAGCTCCGGGGTTGGCTTGGTGTGCTGGGCATGGAGAGCTGTGGTTGGGTGCAAAGACATTGTAGAGAAGAGTCCCAGAAGCAAGATGCGCAGAGTATCGGAACAATCCTCCTGGGGGCATTGGGGACGGAACTGGGCTGTGTGCGGAGGGGTGGGGCGGTTTGCCTGACTGGTAAAGTCTTCTTGGAATGGGGGGTGGGGTGCAGAACCCCGAGTTGAAGAAAACTGAAGGCAGGTAGGGAACGGTCTAACGACACACACGTCTCTCACAGACTGGGGCAAGGATGGGTTTGCCTGAGCGATCCTCCGCCAAAGGGACTTCCTTTGTGTGGGAGGAGGCCTTGCCTGGGTGTGGGAAGGCAGTGAAGTCACAGCAGCAGGTCACAGAACGTCTGGGTGAGAGGTGAACAGGAGACAGGGTGTCTCTGAGATTGTGGCGTCTGTCCCTGAGTGCTGAGGTGGAACTCCAGAACAAAGGGACTCCCCAACGGTTGTGATTGCTCCCCTCAACTCTGGCACAGTGCCTGCCTGACATACAGAAGATGGGAATGTGTGCTCTAATGGGTCAAACAAAGAACTGTATGCAAAGAAGGAAAATACCAAGTGAGAATTTAATTTCCCTCAAACCAACAATGAAAGGGAACTGAAGTCAGTCTTTGGAGAAAAAACAATTTTTGTCAACAGTACAGTAGAGCTTAGGGCGAGATCATGTATTTAGACAGAGGAAAAGGAAGTCATAAGCAGAGGTTACGGGTGTGGAGAGGTGAGTTGACGTCTCCCGCCTACTGAAGTGGTGCATGGGATGGGGACTTTGTAATGCAGAAGTGGATTATTATATTGCTTGCTGAATAGGATTCTTCGTAAAATGTTAAAGCTTGTTCATTTATTGTAAACTGAGTTTAAATGATTAAAGTCGTAACATCCTTTTGAGTTACTAGGCCTGACTTTCCGACTGATGTCACATTCTAGAGATTAGCTTATTCATTCAGTGAATATTGATCACCCAGAAACTGGAGAATAGTATGCCCGTGTGTATCTTCAAGAGACTCGGAAGTAAAGTGTGGTAATTAGTGGGTGTCTCTCTGAAGATGGACTTTTATATTGTATTACATGTTGCTTTACTAAATGTCAAGATGGGCTCGCATTCCGGGCTGATGTCAGCCATATTTCTGCGCACCAACCAAGAGTAGTAGTGTCTTGCCCCGGGAAGCATGCTCTGCGGCTGCCAGACTGTTGTCATGCCCCTTCTTGTTGTCGTTTTAGTGACAGCTATATTGTGCGCGTCAAGGCTGTGGTTATGACCAGAGATGACTCCAGCGGGGGATGGTTCCCACAGGAAGGAGGCGGGATCAGTCGCGTGGGGGTGTGTAAGGTCATGCACCCTGAAGGCAATGGACGAAGCGGCTTTCTCATCCATGGTGAACGACAGAAAGACAAACTGGTAATGACAGACACACACCGCGGGAGTTAACGTAGCAGTGACTGATTTCTTTATATAAGTTACAGCCCTTTCCCCCCTTTTATAGTTTTAATGTAGCCTTCCCTTTCCAGTGCAGCCCCTCGGCCACATCCAGAATGCATGTCACAAGGGGGTTTGGCTGTCTTGTTTGCCATCTTTAAGGTGTGCCCTTGTAACAGGTGTGTAAAGCAAAAGCCTGTTCTTTATTATTACAAATCATATAACAACAAACTGCGGAATCGGGGTTTTCCATGGGAGGCGTGGGTGGGAGGAAGTTAACATGTGAGACAGCATCACCTATTCCTTCTAAATAAACCTTTGTCTGAAAGATACCGGAGCCTGGGCTGAGGGAGGTGGCCCAGAGTGTTTGCTATGCCAGCGTGGATACCTGAGTTTGGGTTCCTGTAGCCATATAAATCACGGTGGCCATAAAGGCCTGTGACCCCAGCACTGTGGGAGACCGAGACAGGAGGATCACCAGGGCTTCCAGACCCGGCCTTGGCTCCAGGATCAGTGAGGCACCCCGTCTCAGAGGAACAAGATGAAGGGTGGGGAAGCGGGGTCCCTGACGTCCTCCTCTGGCCTCCACTCACAAAAGTGTACATACACCACACAAACACGTCCAGCTTTTATCTCGTGAGTAATTAGGAAAGCATCGGTGGTGGAGGAAAATCACGAAGAACAGCAGCTTTGGAAACAAGTCCATGGGAAAGTGAGTCTTACCCAAGGGTGGGATTCCATGAAGTCTCCTGGAGGAACCTGGGTGGCCAGTCACACCACGGTTTATGATAGGGAGGAAGGTGGACCATCCAAGTCCAGGTTATTCTTTTTGCGGGGTGCCAGAGCTCACACCTAGGACCTCATGCATGTTAAGCATGTGCTTTAACGCTGAGCCACACCCCCAGTCCAAGCTACTCACCTTTCCTTACTCTCTGCTCAGGATTGAACCCAGAGCCTTGAACATGCTAGGCGAGCACTTTCTCTGTAAAGTGCTGTGTGTCCCCAGTCCTGAGTCTCCTGTAGACTATTCTAAACATAGTTTACTCTCTACTGTCTGTGTAAGTATATGTTCAGAATCTACAGTGACGAATAATGTGATGGGTTGTATAAGATCTCCCAGAGAAAATGCACATGGCTTCACACAATGTTGGTGTTACATTTGAGACCCTGGGCAAGTTTTATGTGTGAATGTGTAGATATTATTTTTTTGGGTTTTTTTTTTTCAACCACTTATTATGGTTGAAGAGAATTACCAAATAGATAAGACAGAATAGTTTGTAAATATCACAAATAAATGAACTGAAATGCCACTTTACACTTAATTCATTCCTAAAGTTTCTCCCAGTGTAGGCAGTGTGACCACACTATAAAGAAAACGAAGTGCCAGGTGTGTGGTGGTACACACCTTTAATCCTAGCACTTGGGAGGCTGAGGCAGGCAGGCAGGCAGATCTCTGTAAGTTCAAGGCCAGCCTGATTTACACAGCAAGCTCCAGGCCAGTCTGTATAGTGAGACCCTTTCTCTGTCTGTCTGTCTGTCTGTCTGTCTGTCTGTCTGTCTGTCTGTCTCTCTCTCTCTCTCTCTCTCTCTCTCTCTGTCACACACACACACACACATACACACACACAAAAGAAAAAAAAGAGTTTAGGAAAAAGTGGCTTGCTACTGTGTGCCGGCATGTACTTCTAGCTGGCACAGGGTTAGCCCTTTAGTTAGGTGATGCCCCGGGAATGATTTCTTGTTCTTGAGGACCGTATTTAATACAGCAGTACACAGATCCCCAAACCAAAGCAGAGTCACGACACACAGCATATCTTCACATGCCTTTTGTCAGTTTGTAAAGAGCTTTGCGTCTCTTACCTGTCACCTACATTCTCTTTAAGAACGTGCCCATCTTGCTCACACTAATGTGATGTGATATTAGACCATCTCCTTAGCGTCCAGTCCCCCGTCCCTGTCTGTCTCCCCCCCCTCCCCCCCCATCACCATAGTATTAGGAAGACACATTTAACTGCATTTTCCACATTTCATGTTTTTTAAGAAATAATTTGGAGCCGGGCAGTGGTGGTGCACGCCTTTAATCCCAGCACTCTGGAGGCAGAAGTAGGTGTATCTTTGAGTTCTGAGTTCAAGGACAACCAGAACTACTCAGAGAAACCCTGTTTTTTTTTTTTTTTTTTTTTTAAAGGAAGAAAGGATGAATGAGTGAATGAATGAATGAATGAATGAATGAATTTGTAGTCTGATTTTCACAACCTTTAGTGCCTAGGGGTGCTGCTATGTGAGATTTTCCTTTAACATTTTGAAGTCATATGTTTTAAATCTCTGTCATTTTGATAGAATGGCAGTGGTCTCCATTGATTACGTATGAATGACCTCATGTGGTTTCCTGCTTGTTAAAAAAGTATAAGCGGCAGTCAGGCAGCCGGATGGCTCAGTGTCTGCGGGCACAAGCAGCTCAGCCCAATGGCCTGAGTTCAATCCCTGGGACCCGCAGAGTAGGAGAGAGCAGACTCCTGTAGATTCTCCTCTGACCTCCATGCCTCACACACAGGCACATACAAAAAGAAGTGTGGTTCTCTTCTACTTCATTGGAACCGAGTTATCTGCCAGTGTCCTTTTCGTATTGACCGACTGGAACTTACTCTTCATGTGTGTCCTGCCCTCTCCTTACCTGCCTTGTTTACCGATAATAGATTTTAATAATCTGTTTCTTGTCTTTTTCCGCTTGCATCAGTATTCTTATTCTGCAGAACTTCGGTAGAGAGTCTTTCCTTTGTATCCCCCCTTTCTAGTCTGCTTGGAGACTGTCTTCACGTGAAGGGTTCTGTACCCTTAGGACTATTTCTGATTTGTTGTAGATTGTCAACCTGGAATAGTCTCCATTTCTGGCTTTGTAGCCAAGGATGACCTTGAACTCCTAGTCCTCCTCCCAGGCTCTGGGATTACAGGCGTGTGCCACCAAACCCAGCTTTAAAATGGTGAGACTGTCAGCCCCAGCCCCTGCCTTTCAAACTGCATTATGAATTTGTGTCTTCCCAGTGACTTATACATAGTAACTACAAACGTTTCCCTTTTTGTCCAAGGAAACCTCCGTTATATTCATGCCTCATCTGAAAAGGGAAGAAACTGTCTCCACAATACAGTAATGCATTGCTTCCCGAGTCCAGCATGGGCCACTTGTCCGTGTCCACCTCCCATGGAATTGTGGGCCAGCCTCTGATGGCTTCTGAGGATGCCATCAGATGATGGGATGGTGCCATCTTCCAGGTGTACCTTTGCCCACCGTCCATTTCTGCATCTCTCCATCCCTCTTCTGTTCCCTTTGCTGTCACTCTGGCCTTGGGTACCGGTGGCATTTAAATGACACGCCCGCACACCTGCTTGTGCTTTTCTAACCCCACGTTGTCCCTTTCACTCTGGGAAATTCTGGGTTCCACCCCCACCCCCACACGGTTTGCAGATACAGTGGCATCTCTGTGATCTCCCTGCTCCGTAAGGCAATGCTTCTGCCCGCGGGAGCCCATGAGCCTGGGGGAGTTCTGAAGGGGGCGGGTGGTTGGAGGAAGTCCCTTTAAAGGTGAGGGGACTCTGAGGTGGTGCTTGGCTGAGCTTGACATGGAGGCCCTAATTCCCCGTATTTCAGCTGGGCACGAGGTGCTTTTTCATAGGAGTGTGTGGGGAGTTGTTCCAGGTAATAGAGTTCTAGAAGTCAGCACATTTTGCATTTTGAGTGTGTGTGTGTGTGTGTGTGTGTGTGTGTGTGTGTGTGTGTGTGTGTGCGCGTGTGTGTGCACGCTCATGCAGAGCACTCTGTATTGGAGCCTGTGAGTTTAACTGACATTGCTCCTACATATACCCATTCATAAGCTGTCAAAGAATTTTCGGTAATAGGGAAAATCAAGTTGTCCTGAGAAATTATATGTAAACTCACACTTGGCATCTCTGCTGGCCCGAAACTCACGCTGTGGTCCAGGCTGACCTCAGCCCCAGGCTTGATCATCCTCGCTCCAACCCCCCAAATGCTTGGATAAGAAACAGTGTTGAGATCACAGGTCTGTGCCCCCATACCTGCCCCTTTCCTTATGATTGTGGTGTTCTCCCTAGGGTGTTTGTCAGAACCCAGCCGGTCACATGGTCTTTCTTTCCTTTGTTTTTGGTTCGGTTTGGTTTTTGGAGACTGTTTCTCTCTGTAGTCCTGGCTGTCTAGAGACTCACCAGACTCTGCCACCCAAGCCCTGGGATTAAAGGTGTGTGCCACCACTGTGTGGCGGGTCTCTGGTGGCCTTGGTTTTTAAGACAGGGATTCAGGTAGTCCAGGCTGGCCCAAGCTCTTAGGTGAGGATGACCTTGACCTTCTGATTCTCTTGCCTCGTCTCCCAAGAGTACAGGCATGTGCCACTGTGCCCAGTTTATCTGATGCTGGGGACCCGGGGCTTCTTGGATGATGGGAAAGCCTCCTTCAGACTAAGCTGCGTCCCAGCCCACACCTTTTTTTCATGCTGTCTTCCGTGAAACTGTTTAATCCTTCACCTTGAGTGAATGTCTTACTCAGGCCTGATTCTGTAGCATCATGAATTGGTTGCCTGGAGAAGAGAACGTGGGGTTTGCTGGGATTAGGCCAGTCTTTTGGATAGTGACACATACTGTATAATAAAAGGTTTCTTTTAGCTTTTTGTTCTTGGTGGCTCGGAAGGCACAGGGGTTGAGTTAGAGCCCCAGCCCTTTCTTCTTTGAGACAAGCTGTCAGTACAGAGCCCTTCCTGGCCTTGACCTTGCAGTCCTCCTGGATCAGCCCCCCTGGTGCTAGATTGCAGTCATGTGCTACCATTTCTGCTCCACACCCCCAGTCCACAGCCCCCTCCTCTTGTTATTTATTTAATGGCATTGTGTGTGTGCTCTTGCACACACACATGTGCATGGTGCATGCATACATACCACAATGCGTATTTGAAAGTCAGAGGACAGGCCTGGAGAGATGGCTCAGCAGTTAAGAGCTGCTCTTCCAGAGGATCCGAGTTCAATTCTCAGCCCCCACGTGGCAGCTCACAACTGCCTGTAGTTCTAATTCCGGTGAAATCTGGCCCCTTCACACCAACATACATGTGGACAAAACACCAGTGCACTTAAAAAAAATAAAATCTTTTTTTTTTTTAAAAAAAAAATGCAAGTCAGAGGACAGATGGGTCAGCAGAGAGGACCCGGGTTCAATTCCCAAAGCCCACAGGGTAGTTCATCACCATCTGTAATGCCGGTCCCAGAGGATCTGACACTGTCTTCTGGCCTCCACAGACCCCAGACGTTCCACAGGGTGCACAGACATGACATGTACACAAAACACGCATACACATAAGGGAAAACAATAATCGAAACAAAAGAGAGTGTTTAATTATTGGTAAACTGTCCAGAACTCTGATTTTTTATTTTTAAACTTGTAAGTTCAGATTTTATCATTAGGGATGGGAGACTCCAGTTATTTCCTCTGTGAGGCAGCAAGCTCAGTTAGCTCATTTCCAAGAAAATCTCTGCCAAATACCCAGTCTGCCATACCTGGTCTACTGGTTGATCTTTTAATAACGATGATGATTCACAGAGAGAGAGAGAGAGAGAGAGCGAGAGCGAGAGCGAGAGCGAGAGCGCGTGTGATTACAGCTGCCTGAGGGCGCGTGCTGCAGTCCCAGCGCCTGGAGCGTGGAGGCAGGGAGAGCAGGAATTTGACCCAGCCTCAGCTTATTTATCAAATCTAAGGCCATCTTGGGCTACATGAGAAACCCTGTCCAAAAAGGAGGGGAAATGAAAAAAGTTAATTCAGCCTATGAAAGAGCCCAGCTCACCAATGAGGTCGTCATACCAGCCGGTCCAGTGACAGTCGCCCTGCTTCCTTGATCAGAAGAGGGGAGGCGTAGGAACCCTACCCTGTTCTGACTGTGCATCTGTCCAAGCCGGGCTTTCTTCGCCACTGTTACCGACCAAAGCAGCATGTTAGCAAACGCTGAGTATAGAGAAGCTAATGTGAGGATCCGGTAGTGTGTACTTCAGATCACGCCGGGATGTAGAGGGTTAAGGACGTCCCTGAGTAAATAAAGCTGGTGTTGCGTGTGGTGATGGCTGTTAGTAGCTCATTGCTGCCATGAGGCAGTTACATTGCCCTCCCTTTCCTGCAGAAATGTCTCCACAGAGTGGAGAGGGCAGAAATGGTACTGTGATACTCCCACTTCAGAAGGACAGAAAGGGGCTGGAGATTAAGAAGGCTCTTGGAAGCCCACAGATCAAATTTGGGAAACTATTTATATGTAAGAGTGTAGGTGGTAGTGTTGTTTGTGAAAGGAGCCATTTGTATGGAACCTGGTTAAATAAATCCATGTCTGTACAGGGAAACATCTATCACACAGCCTCTGAGAAGAACCGTTATTAACTCCTGTCTCTAGGGTGTTGAGGGTCTTTGGTTGGTTTTTGCGCACGCGCGCGCACACACACACACACACACACACACACATGCTAGAAATCATCCAGGGCTTTGGGCATATTAAAAGCACATGCTCTTCTGCTACGCAGCGTAGACGGATGCACACATGCTCCCTAAGACATGCTTTTTAATTTTTTTTATGTGTATGAATGTTTTGCTGTTTGCTTGTATGCATCCTGCATGTGTGCCTAGTGTCCATGGAAGTCAGAAGAGGATGTTTGATCCCCTAGAACTGGAGTTACAGATAATTGTGAGCCGTCACCATGTGGGTGCTGGGACGTGAATCTGGGTCCTCTGGAAGATCAACAATTGTTCTTAACAGCTGATCCATCTCTGCAGCCCCCCCCCCCAGACATACTTTTAAGGTAAACAAAAGACCAGTTGCAGAATCAATTGATAGAAATGGTTCTGCTGAACTACAAATTTCTGTACATATGTAAAAAAGGAGCAAGGGGCCAGGGCTGTGCCCACCGTGACCGTGGGAAACAAGGCTGGAGCCCTTCCGGCATTCACGTAAATCTCCTAACTCAAAGGCTGGGCCAGGGGCTCAGTTGTTAGGTTGCTTGCCTAACATGCACAAAGCCATGGGTTCCATCCCCAGCATGGTTTGAACTGGGCATGATAACACAACCTGTAATCCCAGCATGGAGGAGGATTTAGAAGGTCATCTTCAAATACATGGAGAGATCAAAGCTACCAAAAAGAAATGGTTAGACAATGATAACCAAAGGCTGATTTTTTTTTTTCATTCTAAAAATACAGGAAAATTGAGTCTCTTTGTTTTGGCAAAGAAAAAAATAAGCAATAATAACTTGAGACTTTGAATTGAAGCCTTTGGATTCTGAAATGGATGACATTTGTTAGTTAAAGCCTTGATTATTTGGACTTCCCCAATTTGGAATGAAGCTGGGCTGGCATTTAGTCATTGTGCTATTCTTAGGGGAAAATGACCATGATAAGCAATTTAATCATAAATAGAATTATAAGAGGCTGTCCTCTTCAATACGATGTTATAAAATTACCATTCAGTGCTGCTATTAATATGCCAATTTGACTATTGTTATTAATTTAGGGAACATTTAGTGAGCAGTATTTTATTTCTTATTGCTTTGACATATTCTTGAAATTTATTCTTAAATTTAGATTTACCCTAATTTAGGTAGACTTTTATTCTTGCCCTTCATTTGGCCTAGATTAACAATCTCACATTGTGTTAGTGGCAGGGCTTGGCAAAACGAGGTCAAGGCTGTGAAAACCCAGCAGAGTCACTTTGGTGTTTGTGATAAAGCTGTTAAATAGTTTGGGATTTTTATTAATGAGAACATGAAGTTGATGTCTGCTTGATTGCAAAACTTCTGTGACATGAACCAAACGTTCGTGTCTGTCATCGAGAGCGCTGCATAGAAGGGCAGTTGCGCTATAACACATCTTGGCCATCTAACTAGGGGAGCAAGGTCAATGCATAAGAAACTGTTAGAGACTATTGGACCAGGTACAGAATTAATTGTGAATGTAGCGAGTAAAATTTGAGGTGTCCTGGGGAGTCCATGTGACGATGCTGTTCGGTTTTTCAGTGTTTTCAGACCACATTCTTGCTGATAACATTGGAGGTGTTTTCCGTCTTAGGTAAACAGGACTGGGTTTGATGCAAAGACCAAAAGCCATTCCTTAGATTTATTCATTAGGAACGTGGAGAGTGTGCAAATAATCCTAATGTACAGTTAGTAGTGACGCCACCAGATTAGAACCGAAATGGGGGCCGTGTGCACAGGAAGTTGACCTGGTGACTCACGGCCTAGAGGGACAGAGAAGCAGGCGGCAAAGATAACCAGACGTTTTGAGCCAGAGCAAATGAACAGACAAGTGTGGGCATTCCTGGATAGATATGAAGAAGTTGGGAGAGACTAAGTCATGTTCAGCTTGTTGAGTTCACGGACACAGGGAGACACCCGTGGGGACCAGGAGGGGAGGCAAAAGACAACAGAAGCCCCCATTGGGAGCAGGAGGAAGAGGAGCATGTGCAGGAAGACAGCCAGGACAGTGGAACTTAGCAGAACCCGAGTGCAGGGACCAGAGAAGGTGGTTGGTCAGCAGGAATCAACTCTTTCCCCCAGTGGAGAGGCACACAGCAGGGGCCGGTGTCCTTTGCTTAGTTACCATCCACGGTGGTTCTCAGTGAGGCTTACAGCGGACACCACCATGGCTGTCCCACACGTAACCAGCCTGTGTTTGAACCCTGTAGGTGGTATTGGAGTGCTACGTCAGAAAGGACTTGGTCTACACCAAAGCCAACCCGACGTTTCATCATTGGAAGGTCGACGATAGGAAGTTTGGTCTTACCTTCCAGAGCCCTGCGGACGCACGAGCCTTTGACAGGGGCGTGAGAAAAGCCATTGAGGACCTGATAGAAGGTACTGGATTTGTCACTGCACCCTTAGAGGGACTGTGGGATGTCCCAGGTTCTTTTTCATTCCCACGGTTGGCCAGCTTACATCCGTGGCGTGTTTATAGCAGGGTTTGGGACCATTGGAAGATCGTGAGATGTCGGAACTTTCAGGACACCCCAGGCAAACAGTTGGAGTCAGCTAAGGGGAAAGGCGAGGGTTCGGAGTGCGTGGCCCAGCTGGCTGAGCGTGTGCTGGGAAACCAGCCGGCAGCTCTGGCTTTCCGTGTGGGTGTGGGGCTCACCCCTTCACCGGTGCTGACCACCGCAAGGGATGTGCCTGCTCCGGAGATGGTTTGCTGTGTGACGTGGGTCGCTGGTGTGTAGCACAAAGGGATCCATTGGAAGAACGTAAGCTGGAGAGGTGGCTTAGCCTTTAAAGGCTGTGGCTCCTCTTGCAGAGGATCCAGGTTAGGTTTCCAGCACTCCCTCCCAGCACCTAAAAGTTGGCTAATGACCACCAGTAACCCAAGTTCCAAGGAAGCCCCCACAGGCACTTACACACATGTGGTACACAGACTTACATGCAAAACACCCGTACATGTAGTTTGTTGTTTGTTTTTTAAATTTTAAAAGAAACTAAACCAAGTGGTGGCGCACACCTTTAACCCCAGTACTTGGGAGGCAGAGGCAGGTAGATCTCTGAGTTCAAGGCCAGCCTGGTCTACAGAGTTTCAGGACAGCCAGGGCTGTTACACAGGGAAACCTGTCTTGGGGGGCTGGGGGGGACGATAGAAAAGAAAAAAGAAACTAAGCCAAATACTTCATTTGAAACCTAGGTTAACAGGCTAGAACTCCACAGCAAGAATAAATTACTTCTCTTGTGTGCAAATGCACATAAACAGTCAGATTCCTTTTTTCCTTTGGGTTTTATTTTTAAGAACAACAGGATTCTTACACTATTTCAAGTTAATATTAAAAATTTTTAAATGTGTGAAGTGCTAGTTATTATAGCACTCACCTTTAATCCCTGCACTCAGGAGGCACAGACAGGAAGATCTTTGTGAGTTTGAGGCCAGTCTAGTCTCCATAGCAAGTTCCCACCGATAGCCAGGAGCCAGGACTCTGTAGAGAGACCCTGTCTGAAAAGCAAAAAGAGAAGCGTGAAGTGGGGCTCCCAGAAGACCTAGCGGTCAGAGCACTTGATGTGCGGCCTCACGACCTTCCCTGGAGCCCGCAGAGGGGGACTGGAGGGTGGGACCTCATCCCTGGAGCCCGCAGAGGGGGAGTGGA